GAAGGGAGTTTCCCAGCTTATAAGTGTGCTGCTGGTTCCCACTGCCCAAGTGCAGCACCCTGCACTTGTCAGTATTGAAACCCATCCTATTTTCGTTAGTCCACCCCTGTAACCTGTCCAGGTCCTGCTGTAACCTGTCCTTCCCTTCTAGCATGCCCACCTCACCCCAAATCTTGGTATCATCAGCAAATTTAAACAGTCTGCTTTTCACCCCGTCGTCCAAGTCACTAATAAAGAAATTGAACAGTGCGGGCCCGAGGACTGAGCCCTGCGGGACTCCACTGCCCACTTCCCTCCAGGTCCACCACTACCCTCTGAATATGACCCTTCAGCCAATTTGCAATCCATCTGATTTTGCAGGCATCAATGCCGCAGTTGCCTAGCTTTTTAATGAGAATGGGGTGGGAGACAGTGTCAAAGGCCTTCCTGAAGTCCAGAAAGACTACGTCCACCGTGACACCTGCGGCCAATGATTTTGTGACCTGGTCATAGAAGGCCACCAGGTTGGTCTGACAGGACCTGCCCCTAATGAACCTGTGCTGGTTGCCCTTGAGCATCATCCCAGCTGCTGGCCCATCACAGATGTGCTCCTTGATAATCTTCTCAAAGAGTTTCCCCAGGATTGAAGTAAGACTAGGGGCCTATAGTTGCCCGGGTCCTCCCTCTTCCCTTTTTTAAAGATGGGGACCATGTTGGCTTTCTTCCAGTCATCTGGCACCTGGCCAGAGCACCACAAGTGCGTGCCAGGGGTCCCACCATAACCCCTGCCAATTCCCTCAACATGGCTTCCCACCCATCTTATTTGAGCCTTTCTGGATAGTACAGGATGTACATCGAAATAACAATAACAATCATTGTAATAGTAATAGTAATAGTGCCCTTGAGCCTTTAGGGTCAAAATTCAGTAGATGTTCGCTTTGAGACTTGGGGGTTCAGGTGAATTGCGTCCATTTTGATATCTTTAATTGTGGATGCTGTATTTGCAATTCCTATCACGAAGGTTCAGTTTCTAGGGAGTTTTCAGTGAGGAAGCCCAGGAACCAGGCAATACAGTAAGACTTATATCTGGCTTGAAAAATACTGGTAGATTCCCAGCCCTATTTTTGAACAGAGTGTCTGCACCTGCAAACGCCATATGAGGAGCAGAAGAGAGCTATTAAAACGTAAAGAGGTTAGTCAGTCCGTCAGATAAGCGGCAGACAAGATTATGCTTAGAAGGGCTGAATTTTGTAATGTGTTTTTGTTGTTGTTCAGGAATGCTTTGTAGAAGACTGCTCTAACGACTACTTTCCCAGGCCATTCAAGAAGGATTGATTGCTGCTTGAAACTCAGCACATTTCAGATTCTCCAGTTATGCAGAGCATTCAGAATTTATTTTGCATCCACTGACTTCCCTCCAGTCTTTTCCTCTTCCTCCTTCCAATTCCTCTTCAGAACCACCACCTCCTGGGAAGCCTTTTCTAAAGCTCTTCTGCGATTCCTATACCATAGGCTCACTCGCCATGTACTTTTTGTGCCCAAACTATTTTATGTCTACACCAAACTATACATTTCTTGGCTCAGGGGCTGTCTCTCTTCTTCATGTGTAAAATACCAGGCAAGATGCTGGTGGTTCTGAAAGAATACTTTTCTAGCTGAGAAAGGAAGCCGGGATTATCTCCCAACAGGGTGAGGAGGTAATGAATTTTGGGGACAGCGTTGAGGGAGTGCTTGGGGTGCCAGTCAATCTCTTTTAGTTTGCTATGGGGGGTGGGGGGGGGGGGGGGGGCTTTCCATAGAGGTACTTTGGCTGACTTTTAAGTAGGTCTGAGAACTGCAGCAGCAGGAACTGTGCGTAAGGTCAAAAACAACAGGAGAGTCCCTGTCTGTCTGGGCTGAATCACACTGGACTTCTCCGTGATGTCATCCTCCTCCTTCTGGAGGGTTCCAGATTTAAACACAAAATCCTGCCCACAATCTGCTGTTGGCCCTGTGGAACTCCCTTGCTTGGCCCTGTGAACTACTGGAAGGAACTAAGGTCAGATGGTTGTGACTCAGCCGAGTCCCATGATCTCTCTTCTTTCTCCCAAAGCCTGGGGAGGGAGCCAGTAGTTATAGAGACTAGGTAATGTTTGAGAGCTGCAACCTACCCCACCTCCCTCTTGCTTTGTTGTGGGCTCAGGAGCTAGTCTGTGTCCTGACTTGCAGCCAGTTGAAGTATTCACTCAAATCCACCCTGAACTCCAGCGCTGGGAATGTTCCAGAGCGATGGCAGGGAACTTTGATTTGAAACATGAACCGTTTTCTCATAAGCTGTCCTATATGCGAGCAAAGAGACATAGTTAGCTGTGTTAGTCTGAAGGCAAGCAGAAGGCTGGGTTGATTTGCTAAACTTGTGGATTTAATGACTTTAGAAATGTATCTAGCACAGGCTTTCATGAGCTGCAGCTCACTTCATCAGATGCCATGAAAGGACTCTTTCCATTTTATACACTGGCCTATACAGGTGCTTTCACAGCATCTGATGAAGCAAACTTTAACGCATAGATTTCATAGACACTAGGGCTGGAAGGGACCTTGCAGGATCATCGGGTCCAATTCCCCTGCCCAAGGGGCAGGAAGTCTGCTGGGGTCAGATCACCCCAGCAAAATAAGGATCCAAGTGTCTTAAAGGTGTCCAGGTGCTTGCACCACTTCTGGGGGGAGTCTATTCCAGACTCTGGGGGCTCGGACAGTAAGGAAGTTTTTTCTTATGTTCAACCTAAAATGGTCTTCCTGGAGTTTGTGACTGTCAGACCCCGTCTACCCTTGGGTGTCCTGGTGAACAGATGTTCCCCCAGTTCCTGGTGCACCCCCCTTATATACTCATACAAGCTTGTACTATGTATCTCTCTAGTTTAGTTAGCTTATAAGGTGCAAATCTACCCTGCCTTCTTCCTATTTTATATCACCATTCATGCAATAGTCTCCTAACACTGCCCACCTGTTGGGGCCCCAGATATGAATGGCCATAACCAGAAAAATCTCTGCGTGAGGGTGGATGCTGAAGGAATCTCTTTTCTAAACTCACAGGCAGGGAAGAAAGTAGCAGCTATTCTTAGTATTCATATTCTGTGGTTAAATTATCAAAGGTTAGCTCTGAAATGTCAGGATTTTTACTGAGGAAACCTCATCAGTTTTCATTGGTGCAACATACAATGTTTTGTTAAGCACAGAGGATTCTGGGAAATATTTCTGTTGCAGTAGACATAAGACATAAAAAATATGCATATGGGTGGGGGGTATAAAGTACATAGCGCACTGTGTACTTTGGCGTTATGCAATAATAATACTTCCAAAGCTGAGAGAGAGAAATGTTTTTCCCCTCTGGTATACGTATTTTACTTGACAGAAATATGTGACGTGGAAAAGTTACCTGTAGCTGTTTCCTTCCATTTAAGAATTAAAATATATTATTGTATCTGATTACGTGCCTCGTTTGCAATAATCCTTTTGTTTTTCTAAGGATGATATCCTTTAGCTCTGTGCTGCGGTGCGGCAGGTTCAGGAGCTGGCCTTCCAAGTGCAGCGTCATGCAAAAAAGAACAGGAAGTGAGGTCACGTGTTAGAATTATACAACAACAAACATACCCGTTAAAACAGGTCTGCATCAGAGCTGGAGGCAGATCAGAAGTAACCTAATTGCAGTTGGGCACGGCCAAACTAACAGAGATTTAGACACCTACGAAGTCTGAAGAAGTTCAACTCGGGATTTAATTTGCTGCTTCAGTTTGTCTCTAGACTCGTCAGGCATTTTCCGTCTGTTTTGTACGATGCTTTTGTGGCATCCCATAGAGTTGAACCTCTGCCTGGTGACAAGGTATTCAGTGGCGGGCTCTTCGTCCTGAAATCCACTCAGCAGCGCCAGATCATGAATTTGGGTTAAAATCATTCTGTTAAAAAAAAAGTGATTTTGTTTGTCTTCAGGGACTTGAACCCTTGCAGTTCACATTTTCAAGTGTTTCTCTGTGTTCATTAAGGCTAACACATTCCTAGTTACAAAAAAATAAAGCTGATATTCTGGAATAATTATATGACTCTTGGGGTAAAGGAACTTTAAGAGAAAAAAATGCGAACATTGCAAAACTTGCCATAAATTGGTGGTAGTTGGTAATGCTGTTTACTCTGTCTATATTTCTGACCCATCCCAATACCTTTTTGTTTTAACTTTTGAAAAAGCCTGGTGTAAAGCCCATCTATTTGTTCAGGCTTTTGTGTGACCAGGGAATGATTGTGGAAATTGCAAAGATCTGTATCCTGGGATCAAAAGTCGAACTTTGTTTGGTTATTAGTGTTATTCTAATAAGTGTGTGTGTGTGTGTGTGTGTGTGTGTGTGTGTGTGTGTGTACACACACACACACACACACACACACACACACACACCAGTGCACCCAGTGACAGCACTGTATCTAGACTCCTGGCGGTCCTAGGTGAACTTTTAGCATCGGGCCCCCCTTCACCAGAGATGATGATGATAATGATGATAATGAAAATTACCATTTTCAGGCCCCCTTTCTGGCAGCCACCCAGTTCACCCATGCCTATGTCTAGCCCTGCCTGGTAACAGTTGCATTTTGCTAAAGTTAAAATAATTAAATGGCATTTGTTGCACTAATCTGTGCGTACTTGTTGTAAACCCTCACAAGGCAACAAATTGTGTGTGTGCGTGTGTGTGCATGTATACTTGTTTTAAACCCTCACATAGCAAACACAATGTGCAATGATAAACCTGAATTGACACGAGAGGTCCATAGCTCTTGCCAGCTTCTTTGTAGTTCCCCGGAAGGGCTGAGACATTCGGCATCTCAGAAAAGGAGGCTCAGCATGTCTGAAATCGGCCACTTTGAGAACGTGGTTTATGTGATCCATGCTGTGTGGATTCCCCTGTGTCGCGCTGTGTTTCCTGCTCCAGGCTTCACTTTGCGTAGGAATTCAATAAACTTTTCTTGCTGCCAAAAGAGCTCCCTCTACCGATTTGTTTCAGTCAGCTTCCAAAAGAGTCTGGGAGGAGAGTTTTTGGGTTCGGTGTGCCCTGCGTGCTGTAGAGGTCTTAAGGAGGCAGCTGTGGACAGGAGCCTCTTGTGCAGGAATGAATGATTTAACTGTAGTTCAGCGCTCTCGTCGCTGCTTTTCTTACTAGGCGTCACCTTTAACACTTACGAAAGGTGCCTGTCTAAAGTCCTTCATTTATTGCCCAGAAAAAAGAAAAGGTAAGTTTGAGGGGACCCCTCCAGTCTCCTCCCTGTAGAGAGGTGGAAGAAGCAGTGTCTCTGGGGCGCAGTCAGTACGTGCCCTCTGATCAGACGTCCAACAGATGTGTCGGTCGTGGCACTCCTCGTGAAGACATCTGCTCACAACCAGCATGTATTTCAAGGGGCCACACGGCTGGATTTAAACTTGCAACGCAGGTGACAGAAGTTAGATGCAAATATCTCCATTTTTCTGTCCGGTCCTTAACGAGACGTTACCTTACATTACTGCCTACGTACTTGGCTGTACTTGACTCCCTTGTACCCGGGCTCTGACCAGGCTCCTTCTGTTTTGCTTTGTTTACAGGCAAAAACTGTTCGAGTCTGTTGAGAAGGTGGTGGGGCTGTAAACCCGAGGCATCGAAATCCATCCCTGACGTAACGGTCCAGCTGGCCTTACATCAATACGGCTGGCCCCAAGAACAGAAAAAAAAACTCAGACAAAACAATTTCCAAATTGGATTTCCGCTGGGCTCAAACGCCTTAAGGTTGCAACCTTCCCGTGTCCAGTCCTTTAAAAAACGACGTTGCTCTTCCAGGCAGGAGCCTCCATTTGCCACGTTCATCCATCATCGATTTCCCGTCGGTGGGCATTAGATGCCATTTCCTTAACGAAGATGAAATGGCAGCAGACAGGCCGTGGTGCTCAGGACATGCCTATAACGCTCTGCCGGCGCCAAGCACACCTGAGGGGACCTCAGCGACTACATTTACTTGGGCTGCGGCTTGCTGTAGGATGAGCGAGTGGTGACTTTATTGAGCCCGCTACCTCAGCTGCACGTTTTACCGTCTAGGAACTGGCTACGGTGTTGGTACGGCGCACGGCGCACGCATCTACCAGCCCCAAGTAACCGCTTCCATTTCGAGGGGTCGCACCCCTTCAGCCGTCCTGGTTTCCAAACGGATATAGTTAAAGCGGCACAAAATCCCGTGTAGACCGACCCCAAGTATTTCCCCGGCAACTAAATCACAGGCAAAGGGGGATTTCTTCCATGCTTGCCATGGGGTTCGTCTACGGAGCGGGGGCATGGGTGCCACGGCGCGGCGCGTGAAGGCATTTTGCTCGGCGCACGTGCCCCGGCAGGCCCACGGCGCCGACGTCATACAAGTCAGGGTCACGGCGTGGCACGCCGTCCCAAAAACACTGCCGGCCCCTGCCACGGCCTCGTTTTCTGCCACTCCGTCCTGCGCGGACACGAAACCCCCGCGTCTCTCTCTCGCGGACAAAAGCGTGTTGTCTTTCTGGACGAGGAAAGCGGCGGACACGACGGCGCTGGGTCCGGGGCGGCCGCGACACCTTGACGTGCCCGGGCTTTTGTCCAGAAAGAGAACACGTTTGTTTTTCTCGTCAGAAGGACGGCGCCCGCGAGCCCTCGCCTGGGGCGGCCTCCGGCCCGGCTGCAGGCCGCGGCGCGGCCCTCGGTCCCCGGCAACGCGGCGCTGAGGGGGAG